ATTCAACAAATCAATGATGCTTGCATGCCATATACCTCATTTGGTTACTACATTGTTGAAATTAAAACTACACGTAAAGTCGCAGGCCACATATCCTCATTTAAACTAAGTTTGGCATCATCGTGGTTGTGAAAATTGTGGTTGCTGCAGCATGTCACACTGAACTTTCTTGCCAGTGACCAGTCTTATTTTTTTAAATACTAATTTAGGGTATCGACAGATGAAATTCGTCATCGTTTGTTACTTGTTCAGTGTCATTGCTGAAAGAAACCGCATGGAAGGTGTTGGCTAGAGATCAGAGTGGTTGGAGTTGCGTGCTTTCAAGCACGTTCCGATCAAAGCGATTTGACGTGATTTCAAGAAACGTGACTTTCACTTCTCTCTAGCAGTCACAATGACGCATTCTGCAGCCCAAATCAGTTAGTTTGCCTTGGTTAGTTGGTTTGTTTGATTGGCTTCGTGAACTTGGTGAGCTTTCGTGGCAAAACGAGGTTAGGGGTAATTTCGACTTGAAAGGTAGATGGATAAGGTCGGTGATGGAATCCAGCGCTGCGATGTGATGGTGAGTGTTAAGGGTTGTGTGGGTGAGTGGGTGGGGAGAGGTTGAGTCATCGAGGCTGGTTTTAATGATGTGGGTCGACGATGCGGCGGTTGAGGGGGTTGATCGGACTGGACGTGAACACGGAGGGGGAGGTGGTGAGGGCCTAGGCGGCTAAACCGGGTCACAGATGCGTTCATGTGTGTGCTCCGTGGAAATCATGGGGGCACCCGCGTTTTGAAACGACGCATGTTCTAATTTGCATGCGCAACTCACGGCATCCACAGTCGTCCCCCACTCCAACACCGGCGCCACGCCGGTGTGAGTGTGTGTGTGTGTGTGGAGTACAGGGGTGGCTTGAGGTCAACCGGCATAATTCACGACCCACAACCATCTGTTATATGGCTCGTGATGTTGGCTGTTCATATCGGCTTAAATCGTTTACCTGGAGCGAGTGATTTAATTTCAACTGGGTTTGTGTCTGAGTCTGATTACTGCATGTGGGTGAATGAAGGTTGTGTGTGTGTGTGTGTGTGTGTGTGATTTGAAGAATATTAAAGCAGGCTGTAGCATTTAAGATGTGCAATCAGCCGCGTGAATTTATTCGAAGTTGGAAGGGGGAAATTAGAACTGACTCTGTTCGACGTGGTGGGTTATCTTGCTAGCGTCGTTGACCTATGACCTAGAGTTAGCTCCTTCGGAATCCGACATGCCTTCAATCCGATTGATCAGTTGTTTGCTCAATATCGAGAACTAAATGGGGGTACCTTGGTGTGAGTCAGGTGAGGCTTAGATGTTATCAGGGAAATGGCAGCCTTCCTACTAAGGCAAACGGACGCCACATGCTTTGTCGTCAGGCGAAAGTAGAAGAATTGCTTCACACCTACACCTCAGTTGGTGTTATCGGCTCTCTTGACCTCACTGAAAGCAGCCACACCGCATAACAGCGAACTAGGTAGGAGGTGGATGCGTATGAGTGTACATCACCATGACCACAACCACCATTGCAATCTGTCTACCACGACACTGGGATGCTTAACTGTCACCTGTAATCGCCCCAACCAGAAGCCTCTTTCGTCAGACTTGAATGTGATGCGCGCCGGAATATAGGTGGGTACCGTTGCAACACTTTGGGCAGGGGCAAGGCTTCGGGTGTTGCCGTCTAATCATCTTCGCCTCGTGTGACAATTGTGTACTGTTTGTCTCATGTGCCGCATTTTCTGTTGTGTTGTGAGCGCGCGTGTGTATGCTTATGGGTGTATTGCTCCATCCACAATTAACTTCAAACCGCCACCAACCGACAATCCTGTGAATCAGAAACACCGATACATTCGATTGCTTCTTGTGCAAAAGGCATCGTTAGATCCTATGTGTGACGGATGTTGTGGTGACGACTGCATCATATGCGAGTCGTGTGAGCGACTACAACTGTCGTTTCTTATGGACACTTAGCATCCTCCTATTCGCCGCCGCGCCTACATGTAAGCCTGCGTCCACCAAACATCTAGCCACCATGTATGTAATGTTGTAATCACACAACTTTTGCACCCTCCCATCCCCAATTGAAGAGAGTTTCTTTGTCCAGATTTCGCAAGTTGTATTGTTGTGGTAGGCATGTACATATACAAACAACCAACGGGGTATACAATGGATTTCGAGCCGACGAGGGGAGAGAAGGGAAGAGAGGACGGCACGCATCGTCACCCTCCCAGATCTCGTGAATGCGCCAGCACGACGGCGTAGACAACTGTCAGGCGTGCCCGAGACGGTGACGCGTGTGGAATGTTTACACCACCATCCTGGAGCTGTGAGGCGGCGACCGCAGACACGAGACTTGGACCTTCCCAGGTCGAATGGAGCTGACAGAACCTAAAATCCCATAAAACACAAGTTTTGACTTGAACTGCAGCAGTGACCACAGTTTCCGACTGCTCAAAACTCGGAGAAATGCAAAGCGATTGAAATTCTGGAATTCACCCATAGATGATAAAACTACACAAACAGGCTTTATCCAGATGTGGAGTACAAGGAGGAATCACTGTGGACAATCACCATGCCATCCAGCCTGCAATGCGCATGTCCATTGAATGGAATGCGCTTCGATTGCATGACGACAAAGAGGTAGAGTCATGGGATTGCAAGGTTATACAGAGTCCCATTCACGCAACAACTATTGCTGCTACTGCCGTTTCACTTCC